TTCGGGAGAGAGTGTCAGCAATGCCATTATCAACCCCCAGGACATGCCTGGCCAAGAACCAAATGTTGAGGCGAAGGCAACGCAGTGTGAAAGCCCGCACCAACGCCATAACTCATGGGGATTTAGAAGAAAACGAATTAATGACATAGACAACAGCCAGGTTGTCACGCCAAAAGTGAACCCTGTGGTTCACCAGGTCATCACCACACAGCCAACAAAGTAGGAAAACATTCAAGGATAGTAAGGTCCCTATTGAGCCCAGTGGCTACCCATTCAAAAGGCCAATCCTCCGCACACCAATGTCCGCAGAAGTAGACCCCAAAACCCAAAGAACCTGCAGCATCGGAGGTGACTTGAAGGTCTGCTTCAAGCTGTAAGTCCTCCCTCCAAAAAGACACACCACTATACGGCTCCAAAAACAGCTGCCAGACCAAGAGGTCATCACCCATGCCCACAGTCATCCTTGCCCTATGATGTGGAAGGTGCAGGCCAACCGTGGCTGCGCTCACCCTCCATGAAAAGGCCCTACCTGGGGCTACCACCTTACAGGCAAAGTTAAGATGCCCCACAAGCTGTTGCAACTCCAGCAATGTTGCCTTGCGTTTGGCAAGGAAGCCCCGTACCCTGACACGCAAGTCATGAATTTTGCACTCAGGCAAATGGGACGACTGGGCCACCGTGTCCAGCTCGATCCCCAGAAATGTCAACTTTGAAACGGGGCCAGTCTTCTCATGTGCCAGGGGCACCCCCAGTTCTGAGGCCAACTGAAGAAAGTTGGCCAAAAGCCGCCCACACTGCCCTGAACCAGCTGAGCCAACAAAAAGAATGTCATCAAGGTAGTGGGGAACATCACGAAGCCCAGACTTGTCCCGAACTGCCCATTCAAGAAAGGAGCTAAATCGTTCAAAGGCAGCACATCACATGGAACAACCCATAGGGAGCGCCCTATCCATGTAATACTGTCCCTCAGAGGAACACCCCAGTAGTTCAAAATCCTCAGGATGCACCGGGAGAAGGCGAAAGGCCGACTTGATGTCGCATTTGGCCCTCTCAGCCCCAGGGCCACAACGGCGCACCACCCGGACAGCCTGATCAAAGGTTGTGTATCGCACAGAACAAAGATGTTCCGGGATACCATCGCTCACCAAACCCCTGTGTGGAAAGGAGAGGTGGTGAATCAGGCGAAATTCACCTGGAGCCTTCTTAGGAACTACCCCAAGTGGAGACACCCGCAGCTTAAGAACAGATGGAGAAGGAAAAGGGCCCAGCACCCTGCCTTCCGCTCTTTCCTTATCAATCTTTCCTCGAACAACGTGCTCCAGACCCTGAATTGAACTGAGGTTTTTTGCCAGAAATGGGGCCCTGGGGCCAACAAATGGAATCCTAAAGCCAAACTGAAAACCCAATTAACAAAGGGGGGGGCCCAAGCCAGCCACGCCTCAAGCACTCTCACCTTTAGGGGGCTGGGGCCCTTTGTTGAATTGAGAGGGCCCACTGCCTCCGCCTGGCTTCCTCTGCCCTCGCCGTGACTTAGCCCTAAAGCAATTGGTGAAGGAGGGAGAGCCCCCGCACAAGGGACACCCGTGTTTATATTGACATGCTTTGCAGCTGCAGACCCCTTGGGAGCCAAACTCCCAACACAGTAGGCGGGGTTGAACTGCGGGGACCGGAAGCAGCAGGAAGGTGCTGGACCAAGTGCCCGCTGTCAGAGCGGTCACCTGTGTTAGGCCTCGCTTGGGCCATTACCTGCAACCACAGATGAGGGCAGACTTGGTCCCAGAGCAGCATGGGCTGGATGACAGCCCGCATGTGAAATTCCTCATCATACTGTTGCCAAGCCGGGCCCACAAATCCCGTAGCCAGCTCACAGTTTTTTAGCCTCCGGCTCACACATTTGTGTCTTAGCTCAGGAAGGATGGCTCCAGAGCAAACTAACGTATGCAGCGGCCAAATCGCTGGCTCACAACTTTAATGCCAATAGCTCACAAAGTAGAATTTTTGCTCACAAGACTCCACAGCTTAGAGGGAACATTGCCCAGGAACTGTCGTACCCTGGGACGCCTGCCTAAGGGGGAGGTGGAAACTGTCCATAAGGCCATGGCCAGTACTGAGAAGAAGAGGGGGGCGCTTGTGACGGAGGGGACTGAGATGAGGCTGATGCCGGCGGTGGACCCCAAGGCCCCCAAGGCCAAGCAGGCACCGCCTGGATGGTATTGATGGACTCACTAGACGGGCCCGAAGCCGCAGAAGATACAGTTGCCACCTTGCTTCCCGAGCGCTGGGCAGTGTCGCTCCGACCGGAAGACATGGCACTGCTTGTTCTCTGTCCATCACCTGCTCCACCGGGCTTTGCCGTGCAACCCTCCAAAAGAGAAAGACGGGTTAGCACTGAAGCTTGAAACGGAGGTTTTGATGCCTGCCTAGTCTGCTTCTTAGCTGCTTTGGAATGAGTCAAAACTGGCGCTGGGGCAGAAACGCCTGTTGCCTCCTCCAGAGCGAACAGCCGCTCAAGAATGGCCTGCTGAGCCGCATCGTCCTCCTCATCGGGAAAAGCAAGAGCCGGCGCAGGCCGCTTTGGAGGAGCCTTGGGGGGGGGCGGGCCCCCTGGATTAGGTGGGGTGAGAGAGCTCCAAACAACTGCCCCTTAAAAGACAGCTATAATATCCAGGGGTACCGCTATTCTTGATTCTTGACACTTCACTCAACGTCTCAGAGCGGCGTACAGACTCCCCGCCCAGGCGCAGACCCCCCTGGATTAGGTGGGGTGAGAGAGCTCCAAACAACTGCCCCTTAAAAGACAGCTATAATATCCAGGGGTACCGCTATTCTTGATTCTTGACACTTCACTCAACGTCTCAGAGCGGCGTACAGACTCCCCGCCCAGCCCCTGGATTAGGTGGGGTGAGAGAGCTCCAAACAACTGCCCCTTAAAAGACAGCTATAATACCCGGGGGTACCGCTATTCTTGATTTATAAGTGTCCCAAGAAAAGCCAAGCATATAATTAACCAATTTTTGATATAACTATAGAGCTATACACAAAAAGAAATGGGGGAGGCACCAAGGGCGGGGGGGCAGGAAGGATGTGCCCCAAACCAGCCTCACTAAGGCCTCAACTGCCCAGGAGCCTCCCAAGCCCAGTCAGCCCCGGTCGGCAAAAACAGGCCCAACGCACCCAAAAGAGAGAGAGAGCCGATCCAAGCAATTGCCTCAACACCACAGGGTCGGGCCAGCAAGCTACTGTGGCCAAGAACGGCCACATGTGCAGCTGGGAAGGCAGGGCCAGGCGTGGCCATGGGTGCCTACAGCGCTTCGCGCCAACAGCCCGCCAGAGAAGGAAGAGAGAGGCTCAGCCACCCAGGTCCACGTTCGTGTTCCACCTGCCAGGCACCGCCCCGAAAACCCTGCCAAGCATGCCGCTGGACACCTCTAGGCCTCCGGCACCTGAGCACCTCCGGGTGCCTCTCTCCCCGGGCCCCTGCTTGTGCGGCCTTATCTCCAGCTGCGGCTGCTGCCACGGCGAACGGGATCGCTGAGGTCCCCCGCCGCCTTCTTGGTCCTGCCACCACTGATAGCCTCTGTCCACCTCCGAAACAGCCCTGCAGTCTTCCATGCGAGGGCCACCATACCCACCCGGATTCTCCTCACCGTGCGGAGGCAAAAGCGGCGTGCTGCCTGCTGCACTCCCAGGTAAGCGCCCCTGCCCCCAGAGCAGGCCTACGCACACCCCAGGGCTGAGGCAGAGGGTGTCGAAGGAGCTCCTCGGCCACAAGAAAGGCAGCAACTGAAGAGGGGAGGGAGCGGAGCTGGCCGTTAGCGCACCCACTCCACCACGCCCCCGAGACCCGGACGCTGTGACTCAGCATCCCCCCCTGTCTCCACCATCCTCCCCTGTCTCCACCTTCAAAGGGGGCAAAGGCAGCCCCCCAGCCGTACAGCCGTTGGCCTTCTGCCGGGTGGGGCTGGATTTCCCAACTTCACTATGAGAACATAAGATGCAGTCCCCTGGCCCTGGCCCTTTACCCCAAGCTTCTTTGTGGTGTTCTTGCTTCTGAGACCCTTGTCTGCGTCCACTGCTAACTGAATTTTTAGTGGCGTTTTAGGAACTACACTTGGTTCGTACCAGCTCCTGGCCATGCCTTGTGGGCCTCACAGTTGCTTTTGGGGAATTAAGCATCCTTCCCCAACCCTCCCATGAGGATGCGCCTTGCAGGGAATAGTTGCAGGACCTTTCTCCGCTCTTCTTGATCTTTGCATTGGGGAACCTGTGGGCTGAGCAGGGTGCCTCACCCCATACCGCCTTGCCCTGGGCTGGCCGTTTTCCACTCTGAATGTCGCCTTCGCCTCTCAGCTGCCTTCTTAGAGACTCCTACCAGGCGTAAAACTTGCATCTCATGTCTGGCTGGAAGTCACCTTCAACCAGGGGTGGGGGGGGCGGAGGGGACAAGTCGGCTGCACAGTGGCACAGAGGGGCTCCGGCCTTCCCTGCCTGCCATCCCAAGCCACTTTTGACAGCAGAAAACATCCCCCTGCCAGTTTCATGCCTCTGCCCTTCCGCAATTCGTAACATAAGGGAGGCACTTCTGCTGCATTGTAATGGTTTCTGATATCAAAATGCATGGGAATGGATACATTTCAGGACTGTGTGAGTTTTCAGGCTGGAGAGATTTCAGGGATGGTCTGAGCAGAGGTCCATCAGTGGCTATTAGCCACAAGGTATAGATAGGGACTCTGGGGCAAGGGATGCTCTGTCTTCTTGGTGCTTGGGGGGGTCAACAGTGGGAGGGCTTCTAATGTCCTGGCCCCACTGGTGGACCTCCTGATGGCACCTGGTATTTCTGGCCACTGTGTGACACAGAGTGTTGGACTGGATGAGCCCTTGGCCTGATCCTACATTGGCGTCTCTTATGTTCTTATGTTCTTATCCACGGAGTGTAACTCTTTTCTTTTGTCTTCTCTCTGTTCTTTTTCTCCCCATCGTGCCTCTTCTGCTGTTTTCAGGCTAGAATTACTTCATGGCCAAAGGAAAATCCAGGCTCCTGGTTCAGTGAATTCAAGCGCGGTAAACTGGTAAGAGGCTTCCCTGCTTGGTTTTCTGGTTTGCTTTAACCTGTCTCATATTTTGCGGCAGGGGTCATTTCGTAGAAAAAGAGGTGCAGGAGCTCATTAGCATAGCTCATTAGCATAACTTATTTGCATATGTCACACCCCCTGGCACCACCAGAAGTGTGTCAGAAGGCAACACCCACCCATCAGGCTCCACTGGACTGTTTTGGATTGCTAGCTATTGGGGGGAGGGGGTGAACATGCAGATCTGTCCTCACAGTTAGGGAGAGCTTGTACCTGAACAAAACTTGGTCTTAAAGGTGCCACTGGACTGTTTTGGATTGCTAGCTATGGCGGGGGGAGGGAATGCGCAGATCTTCCCTCATAGAGGAGGGAGAGCTTGTACCTGAAGGTGGGCCGGGGGGGGTCTCTGCAACTTACCTGGCT